GTGTGATATCTTATCATATTGCAGCGGAAGAAATTATGGATGAAGTGCAAGATGAACATGATGGCGTTTTGGCGGCATTTGATCATGAGAATGGTATGGAGTCCGCTAACATAGTGGAAGGTGAAACCTCTTTAGGAGACGGTTTGATAGTGCCTGAGGTGTGTATGGAGTTTTAAAATTTGAAAGATATGTTTGACATGTACAAAAAATATGCGTATGCTCTTGGTTTTCCGGTTAAGAAAAGAAATTCAAAAAGGGAAGACGATGGAGAGTTGGGATATGTGACACTGACATGTGGTCAAGAAGGTCGAAGAATCAAAAATACTTGCGGATCTTCGAACTCGCAACCAACAATACAGATGGGTTGTAAAGTGAGAATCTCTACTTCTGCAGATATTTATGGTGTTTGGGGACTTAACACAGTCTACCTTGACCACAATCATGAAACTAACCCTTCGAAGTCCAGGTTATTTTGATGCAATAGAGAATTGAGTGGACACGTAAAGCGCAATCTACAAGTCAATGATTTGGCAAGAATTTGCATAAAAGTTATAATTCAGCTTTTGTAGAAGTAGGTGGTTATGAGATCATGGGTTGCGTGGAAAAGGATTGTTGAAATTACATTAAAAAAGTGAGACAATTAAGACTTGGGGAAGGGGATGTCGTAATAATATAAACATACTTTTCAAAAATGCAGGCACAATGCTTGGAATTTTTCTTTAGTATGGATCTGGACGATGATTCCCGATTGAAGAACATATTTTGGGCAGATAATCGCTGTAGACAAGCGTATAAGGAGTTCGACAATGTTGTTACATTTGATACCACTTACCTAACAAACAAGTATGACATGCCTTTTGCTCTTTTTGTTGGCGTCAATCATCACGGACAATTCACACTATTGGGTTGTGGATTTGTATTGAATGAAGACACTAAAACTTTTGTGTGGTTGTTTAGAACATGTCTCCAGTGTATGCATGGTCAAGCACTGCAGGGAATAATTACCGATCCCGACAGGGCAATGCAAAATGCAATTTAGATCATTTTTCTGAACAAAAGACATAGATGGTGCTTGTGGCACATTCTGAAAAAGTTGACTGAGAAGTTTGGATACCACGAAAATAAGGCATCAATATTTGGGGCGATACACGGATTGGTATATGATTCGCAGTTTGTTCAGGAGTTCGAAAAAGGTTAGGCTGCCATGATTGATACTTACGACTTGTAGGATAATGACTAATTGTCCGGACTGTATGCAAATAGAGGTCATTAGATTCCTTGTTTTCTGAAGACTAGTTTTTTTCTGAGCAGGGATGTCAATGACACAGAGAAGTGAGAGTATGAATACATTCTTCGGTGGGTATGTGCATTCGAAGACATCATTGAAACAATTCGTCGAATAGTATGAGCGAGTACTGCGCAGTAAAGTTGAGAAGAAGTTCCAAGTTGATTTCAAGTCATTTTCGTAAACATTATCATGTACCACACAATATAAAATGGAGCAGTAATTTCTATCAGTTTACACTATTTCTAAATTCAAAGAGGCTCTGGCTGAATTTACGAAAAAAGTTTATTGCGACCGTATCTCTACTTCGAAGGGACACTCAAGGACAATGTATAAGGTTCGGGGGGACGTTATGTTTGACGGGATACGAAGGAAGAAAACATTCATCGTCTCATTTGATAGACAGAATTGTGATATTGTTTGCAGCTGCCATTTGTTCGAGTTTCGGAGGATAATTTGTCAGCATGCTATTGTAGTACTGATTCGTTGTGACGTCACATTACTTCCTGAGAGGTACATACTACGGAGGTGGAGGAAAGACGTTAGTAAGCACACACTAAGGTCGCAGTGAATTATGACAGTTTGGTTAGTACTCCAAAGCAGTTGAGGTACGACGACATGTGTCATGCTTTTGAAGTGGTGGACCTCGCAGCAGACGATAAGGGTTGAGCAAGTGTGATTATGGAATGGATAAAACTTCAACGTCAAGATCTCATGATGTCTAAGAAGTCGTGTACAAGAAGCAATGCCATCTCCAATAATTCTTTTGAAATTACGGACCAATGCATTGATTATCAACATCATGATAGCGTAACTATACGTGATTTGATGGCGTCACGCACAAAGGGGGCCCCAAGAAACTTCAGAGAAAATGTCCGTTGGAGTTGAGTTCAAAGAAAGGCAAGGTATGTTCGAAGCTTAAACTCTGAACTTCAAATGTCTCTAGTAACCAATACTGATCACATTCTATGCATATTCAGAGAAGTTCGGCACCAAACAAAGGAAACCGACTGAGCGCAAGGCAAATGGACACGGCAGCGAATGTGGTTGACATTCTGCATGCTCAAACACAACAACATTTCGTGCAGACGCCGACCTCATATTTACAGTGCCCCATGCCGACAACATTTCCCTTAATACAATATTCCATCGCGACACCATTCTCCCTTTCAGGTATATTGCCATCTTCAAATTTGGTCCCTCCTTCATCAACAAACATTATGTATAGTTCACAAGGTAAGAACAAAGTATGACATTTCAACTTTCGGTGTATATTTATTTCATGCATGCAGCTATCAATGTTCTCAATGTATTGTAGGTCAAGTAATGTCATACTACTTTTCGCATTTACCAGACCAAGGTGGCTCAGGCAAGTGAGGGTCAATTAGATAATGATAAAGGTTTGGGCTTCAAACCGTTTTTTAAGGTCAGTTGTATAAATAGATGATGATGCCGAGTTTTTTTTTATTATTTTTTTATTTATTTTAAGGTCTTAATTGTGGAAGAAGAGAAAATCTTAGAATGGTTATGTTTCTGTTGAGGAATTTGTCTTTGGGAATATTTTTAGTTTGTCAAACTATGATCATGATTCTAACTTTTTTTTATTAATATATTTATTTATGAAAGATTTTTGGTCTCCTGTGTAGGTAACATTGGAATCTGATGGTCTCCAACCGACAATTGATGTTGGGCAATTGATGTTAGTGGCCTTGGGGTATTAAAATGTTGGGCATCAAAAGTTTGATTATTATCTATCTCGTCTCAAAGAGGATTCTCAATTTATTGTTGTTCAGATTTATTAGAATACCAACAACTTTTTTTGGAGATTATATTGTGTAACCTTGAATGGTTAAAGTGGTGAGGAAAGAGAATGTTTTAGTTTTAATATTGTGATGCAAATGCTAGTTTTCCATTTTTAATAAATGATGAAATTGTGATATCTTTAATAGTGTGGAGCATGACAAGTTGAGGGAGAATCTTACTAGAAAAGAAATCATTGGTCTTTTTATTTTTTCATTTTTTTTAATGTTGCTTCAAACTGAACCAATTGAGATAGGGGCAGCAGATTTATTTATTTATTTATTTTTTGGTGCAGTGGATGAGATTTTTGGTATAACGTATTTCTACCTAGAAATTGTCTGATAGTTTGATTCAATAGTTATTATATGATAGAAGCATGAACTCATGGAGTTGTTGCTGGGTTGTTTCCATTTTCTCGATCACTATTCTATTATATGTGGAGAAACGTGTGAAAAGTGAATGCTAGCAATGACTTATATCCCATCTTAGAGTTTTTTTTTAATGTTGCTTTGCAAGGTTGTGAGAAGATATTGCCATGTGGGTATGACTTCAATGGGAATGATGCCCCTATTTCTTTAAATGCATATTATTCTTTCAATTTCCACTACCAGCAGCCTTCTCTGAATCCGAGCAATTCTTGCTCTAGCTTCGGCTCTAGTATCCTAATTTAAGGCAAGAAGTAATTTTGACTTCTCTAATTTTGCCTTGGTATCCTAATTTAAGGCAATAAGTAATTTTGACTTTACTAATTTTGTCCACCGGGAATCAAATGAAAAATACACGTAATTCTGTAATCAACGATTTCAATACAAGTAATACTAGGAAGCTGCACTTTTCATCACATAAGAGCCACAATATCGATACTAGGTTGCCAACAAATAACCCGATCGAGGATAATGCAAGGCTACAAAATATGCAATGTACCCATTGACATTCGAATAGTTTATGGATAGAGATTAAATAGATTGGGTCATAATAATCCTACCTATACAAAGTGCGTGTAATAACTCGTTCGACTCGTAACTACTAATCAAGTTGACCCCTTCCCTTGTGCATTCAACTCTGCACTGCCTTCTACCTTGCATATCATCACGTTCATCGAAATTCGAAGGTCTGCTTCATCATTGAGGCGAATACGAGATTGGAACATACGTGATATATCATCAAATACTTTCGTTTGCTACATCATTCATTGAGAGATTCGTGCCGCTAGAGGATTGATCGCTTGATTTTTCTTTGACAACCCATTCCCAAAAATCACAATTGGCACTGTAGCAAAGAAATAAATGACCTTTATTAACAGTCTCCTTTTCAACGACAAAGCACTTCTCGAATCCATGCTTGCATGATGGACATCGGCGTTTCTTTGGGCATTCTGCAAAGAAGTGACGTTTAGATCTACAACTATGACAGATTTCAGAATTTCTTCCAACCATTCTGAGATGGGAATAAATGACGAAATTGGTATAACTGAACCCATATAAAGCTAAAAAATGCAAGACTGAGTAAATTATTTCAAGAAAGAGCATACATGATTTTCGAGCATGTTTGGCTTAGCTTGTTCCTAAGAAAGAAGTAAGAACAACTCACTAATTAAAAAAATATCAAAAACCACGACAAAAGAATGAAATAAAAGATGGTTTCACAACAATTCCCTTGTAAATCACTCTACACTATTGCATAAATGCACAACATTTCATGGACCAGTGACTAAGATTCGTCGTCTTCCCTTTGAAAGAAGAAAGTGTGCTACCCATTGTACAATTAGTCAACAAAATGAAATCGTAACTTGCTTTTCTCTGTGTTCTACTAGTAAAAATAAGGGTAAACGTGTCACCCCGGAATCATTCCATTGAATAAATAAATATCACAATATGAAAATTCTAGGCAACATCGAACCATCGACTCACCAAAATCAGATTCCCAGTAACTCCAAATCATGATGTTGATAATCAGTGCATTGGTCCATAATTTCAAAAGAATTATTGGAGATGGCATGGCTTCCTATACACGACTTCTTAGACATCATGAGATCTTGACGTTGAAGTTTTATCCATTCCATAATCACAGGTACTCGACCCTCATCTTCTGCTGCGAGGTCCGTCACTTCTTCAAAAGCACAACACATGTCGTCGTACCTCAACTGCTCAAGAGTACTAACCAACTCGTCGTAATTCACTGCGATCCTAGTGTGTTCTCTACCAACGTCTTTCTTCCACCTCTGCAGTATGTACCTCTCATGAAGTAATATGATGTCACAATGAATTAGTACTGCAATAGCATGCCGATAAATTATCCCCCGAAACTTGAACAAATGACAGCTGCAAACAATGTCACAATTTTGTCTATCAAAGGAGAAGAAGAATGTTTTCTTCCTCCATATCCCGTTGCGCATAACGTCCTTCCGAACCTCATACATCATCCTTGAGTGTCCCTTCGAAGTAGAGATGAGGTCGTAGTAAACCTTTCCCGTAAACTCAGCCTGAGCCTCCTTGAATTTAAAAATAGTGTAAACTGATTGAAACTGCTGTTCCATTTCATATTGTGTGGTACGCGGTAACGTTTGCGAAAATGACTTGAAATCAGCTTGGAACTCCTTCTCAACTTTACTACATAGTGCTCGCTCATACCGTTCGACAAATTGCTTCAACGACGTCTTCGAATGTACATACCCATCGAAGAATGTATTCATACTCTCACTTCTCTATGTCGTTGACATCCTTGCCCAGAAGCTAGTCTCCAAAAAACTAGAAACCCAACGACCTCTGTTTGCATACAGTCCAGACAGCGAACCGTTATCCTGCAAGCTGTAAGTATCAATCATGGTAGCCCAACCTTCTTTGAACTCCTAAACAAACTGCGAATCATATACAAATCCATGTATTGCTCCAAATATTGATGCCTTATTTTTGTGGTATCCAAACTTTTCAGGTAACTTTTTCAAAATGTTCCACAAACACCATCTATGTCTTGTGTTCGAAAAAACGATCTGAATTATATTTTGCATTGTCCTTATCCTGGTTGGTAATTATTCCCTGTGGTGCTTGATCATGCATACACTGGAGCCATGTTCTAAAGAACCAACCAAAAGTTTTCGTGTCTTCGTTCGATACCAATCCACAACCCAACAGTGCAGATCGTCGGTGATAATTGATGCCAACAAAAGAGGCGAAAGGCATGTCATACTTGTTTGTCAGGTAAGTAGTATCAAATGTAACATCGCCGAACTACTTATAATTTGTCTGCAGCGATTATCTACCCAAAATATGTTTTTTAACTGGGAATCATCATCCAGATCCATACTAAAGAAAAATCCCGAGTCCTGTGCCTGCATTTTTTAAAAGAATGTTTGTATTGCGACGACGTCCCCTTCCCCAAATCTTAATCGTCTCATCTTTTCAATGTAATTTCGACAATCCTTTTCCTCGCAACTCATGTTCTCATAACCACCTACTTCGACAATAGCTCAATTGTAACTTTTATGCAATAAAAATTCCTGCCAAATCATTGACTTGTAGCTTGCGCTTCACGTGTGCACTCAATTCTCTATTGCATTGAAATAACCTGGACTTCGAAGGGCTAATTTCATGATTGTGGTCAAGGTAGACCGTGTTAAGTCTCCAGACACCATAAATATCTGCAGAAGCAGAGATTCCCGCTTTACAACCATCTGTCTTGTTGGTTGTGGCTTCGAAGAACCGCTAATATTTTCGATTCTTCGACCTTCTCGACCACATGTCAGTATCACATATCTCAACTCTCCATCGTCTCCCTTTTTCGAATTTCTTTTGTTAACAGGAAAACCAACAGCATACGCATATTTTTTATACATGTCAAACATATCTTTTAAATTTTTAAACTCCATACCCAATTCAGGCATTATCAAACTGTCTCCCAAAGAGGTTTCACCTTCCACTATGTTAGAGGAGTCCATACCAATCTCATGATCAGATGCCACCAGAACGCCATCATGTTCATCTTGCACTTCATACATAATTTCTTCTGCTGTAATATGATAAGTTATCATACGTTCAATAATCCACAATAACAATATTATAAGGTTATTCTCAATCACAGTTTTCACTTCCACAGAATGCATTTGCTTGTCCAATACTTTCAACATAATGACAACTATTACATAGCTCATTTGATACATTAGCTAGTGTTTAAAATGGTCCACAAACGAAGAAACTAGATAAAATTGCCCACAAGGTCAGTTAAATTATAAGGTTTCAGTGCTTCAAAATAATTAATAATTAATGCCTTATTGGTCCTAAAATTGTTACATTCTTTTCCAAACTGTTGACCATTCACGTCATTCCCACTAGCGGGTGAATTTGGGAGAGTTACTGTATATTAATTGAACATTCAATGTCGTTTGTCTGGTTAAATTGGTACACGTTAATGTAAACCCCACAAGCCATAATGGCAATAAAAGACCTACTAATTAAAGAACCAGAATTGAAGGAAACTTACTAGTTAACTGTTGGAAAACTTAGACACGATGGCTGCACGTTTGGCTCCGACGGTGAAGACAAAGAAATCGGGTTTGGACTAATTCTTCAGTTGGCCGAATTTTTGAACGTGACGATGTTGATGTTGGGCTTTAAAATGGAACAAAGATTATTCGCTTAAGTTTGGGGAACAATGGTAACCAGTTTGTAAATGGCTTTGTTCTTGTCGACGTGATCGCTCAAAAAGGAAGAAGATGCTGCCGAATCAGTTTGGAGAAAGTTGGTCAACGGTGTGTAAATGTCGAAAATAATTAATTAAGGAACATTTCCTTTCCCAAGTTCCATTTTTGACTGAAAATTATTAATTAATGAACATTTTCTCAGTCCCACGTGCGGCTTCATTTTTCCCTCCAAAAAGGTCATTGTACACTGTGAGAATTTTTAAATCCTTGTCAACAGGGTGTCATTCACCCTATTTGACAAGAATAATCCTTTCTATTTTCCTTTTTTTTTTGCCACGTCAGTCGGGATTTAATCTGGATTTGGTCTGGCCGTGTAGCGGGACTGTACTTTCAATTATATTTTTTGAAATCACATATTTGGAGAGATTTTGACTAATTGACGTTAAAAATGTTTTGTTTTGTTTAAAATAGAATTGTATGATATACTTTATCATTATACAACTATTTTAATGTATAAAAAATCGTAGGTGACTGAATTATATACTATTTTTAATAGTTCTGTTATGATTAAAATACACCCCCACTAGAATACAATCCTGGCTCCACTCTCAACATTTTGTATTTCTGTAATTCTACATGAATTAGTTGTCCACAAATGATCACTAGCCACCTCATAACACTTCTAGCAAATTACAATGAAGAAAGTGATATAATTTTTTTTTGGAATACTAGTTCAAGTGTTTGATGTTTCACAAAAGGAGGGCAAAGAAAATAAGACTGATTTTTCAATATTTTTGTAGAGAATTGTCTTCTTATCATGTTTTTATCGTGGTTGACAAAATGTCAGTTTCTCTTATAATTAATGAAATAAATTCAATGAGTCCTTTCAAATTATTATGTTTGATTTCAATGAAATAATAGAGTTTATGTCACATTGAGAATATCGGTGATTATAGGGAATAGTTTATGAAATCCCATCATATAATTTTTTATCTGCAGAATTATTATAGAATTGTGAGAAGGTTGATGTTATATGTAATGAGAATGAATATAGTATTATTTTTTTTTAAAAAAAAAAAAGAAGAGATTTTGAAATTGTAATGGGGATGGTATGCACACACACACACACACATGTATATATATATGTGTGTGTGTGTGTGTGTATATATATACACATGTGTGTGTGTGTGTTGAATGTGATAGATGTATAACAATAACGGGTGTAAATAGCATCTTCTAATTTTATCCATTAAGTTGAAGGTAAAATACTAAACGCAATATTCTTATCAATAGGATAATTATATTTGCATTACAATTTTATTAGTTACACCACATTTTAATTGTATTTAATCATCAATCTTTGTTCATTTGTTATTTCTATTCCTAACTTTTTTTCTATGCATTTTTATGTTCAACTTTCTATCGATTAGCACAAATCATCTCTCATAATAATTTCCATGCCAAAAAATAATAATAATAAATAAATATCTTAAAATTGACATGAAACGAGTTATTTGTCCATCATAGTTATAACACAGTCTGACAAAATAATTTCCCTCATTTCAAAGCACAAAAAACCTTTCAAAACAAGATAAAACCATTCGAACAAGTGAAAAGTTTCTTCCCTTTTTTGTTCTTCACCCCTTGGGATTATGGAAAATTAGAGATAAAAAATTGATGAAAAAAATTAGAATTATAAGTGTTACCATGAGCAAAAATCAAATATTTTAAGGGAAAAATTGTAGCAACAATCTCTAACCTTTTCAATTTTTTGCAGACTTTACCATACCTTCGATTTGTGCCAACAAAGATCCCTAACCTTTCAAAAATGTACAACTGGAATCCAAATGGATAGAAACCATCCATTGACCGTTGTTGATTGAAAAATTTTATTTTGAGCAATTTTGATGGGGCCAAAATGGCAACTTAGTCAAACCCATGTTATTAAAAAAAGTAAAAACTAAAAACCAGAAAAAATTGAAAAAAAGGGAGTTTCTCCTTCACTTCACCCCATGCCACCCCATACCCCAACCACGGGCCCACACCGAAAAATCAACCACCAAGATCGCGACCTAACAGCATCACCACCTCCGATACCATCATCAACATTAGCCTATTTTTGGTCGGTCAAATTTTACAAAATCACCACCACAAAATTTAGTTCGTGTAGCATTAATGAGCTCCACCATTTTCCCTGTTTCCAATTTCCTCACTACCCAAAAAAAATTCCAAGTTAAATTCCTAAAAACTAACAGTCAAATCTCCTTCAAACAACTCGAAACAAAATGCTAGGACCGAATATTCGGTTTAAGGATAAAGATTCAACATCATACCCCAAATCCATGTCTCATTTTTATCCGAGAACTCGAATAATTCAATTTTATGGTTCCGGTGGATTATTCAATTTTATCAAAGGTATATTTGCATATTTCATATGGTTTTTCTATGTAGTAATTTTCAGCACCAAGCACAAAAGCCAATGCATTGGACTCCAAATCTCCACAAGAGAACCGAATTGAACCAAAATTTTTGGGTATTTAGTAAATGGAACCATCGGGTCCAAATATAATTATGGAACCGTTCGGGTTCGGTTCTATTCGATTCTGTTCTATAATTAAATTTTTTAACATTTATAACAACATTATATAAATACAACTAATGACACATTCAATGGTTTTGAAATGTCAGAGACTAGTAGACTACCTTGTTCAAATGATCGCTACGGTCAAAATTTCGGTTGGCGGAGGCCACAGCTTCGATCGACACTTGTATAGGTTTTGGAATGTCAGCGAGGCTACGAGAGTCAAGACGGCGTTAAGCACTTTAATGTAAGTATTTAGGGTTATTTAGTGGGTTGGATCTTGTTCGGCTAAGAAATGAGACAATAAAATGGGTAATTTGGCCAAAAATTAAAAAATTAAAAATGAAACAAATTATTGGGCCAAAAATTTGGATTTAGAAATTGTTAATTTGTTAATTTGTTTAGAAAAAATTAAAATTAAAATAATTTGATTTATTCAATATAAAAAAAAATTAGAAAGATTCGGTTCTTATTC